CACGAAAGGAGACAACAGCAGAATTAACCCTCAGGTCCCCATTTACATTTTTGTTTTTTTTTTAAAATTAAATTTTTTTTTTTTTTTTTTTTTTCCATTTTTTTTCCTTTTTTTTTTTTTTTTTTTTTTTTTTTTTGAATAATTAGAAACGCATTTTTAGAAATTTGTAATTTCTCTCGTCGCCGGCGTTTCTTTCTCTGTATGGCAAAAGTTATGGTCAACTGCCGCAAAACAATTTTTTTTTAAAAATTTCACCAAGTTACATTATTTTTTAGGATGAAAAAAACAATTCTTTTGTCTAGAAAGCCTTGCAATTGCTAATGACAAAAAACTTTTCATCTAATTTATGCCAAAGGTGACACAAAAAAAATTCCTTAAATTCCTTAATATGGTTACCCTTATTTGGTTTCATCTTGATCCATAGGTTCTTCGGTATCATCACAAGATAACGTTCTGAAAAAAAAAAGTTTTTAGAAATAACGTAAAAATAAGTAAAGAAGAAATCATATGCAATTTAGGCCGAGCTTAAGAAGCAGTAGTTTGTTTATGGTATTTTAGTGAAAATTCGCTACTCGTTATATTGATTGAACTTTCGCGTAATTATATCTAAACGAAATCGAATAATTTTTAAACTTGAAGTTAACTTAGTTGGCTAGATAAACACAGCTATGTGCAGTTAGGGATGTAAACATTGTTCACTCAACTCTGGAGACCAATTTTATACGTGAACTGGTGGCGACAGACCGAAATCTTCAAATTTGATATAGATATGGGCTTCTTGTTAAAGTTTTTGTTTAAAGTGATATTGTCTTCCAGTTCACCTAGCTTTCCTTCCTTTTTTAATACCCACGCATTTTTTTTTCTTTAGTTTCGAGACCCAACAATTGATACAAGTGAACAAGCAGTATTATGAAATTTTTTCGCTATTGTTTATTGCTACGTTAGCAATTGGTACCACCCTAGGGTTCTTCCCAATAAGCCAGCATATTGCAGAGTTTTTGAAAATATTCCCTTTAGTTAGTAATTTCAAATTGATTTGTCTATTTTGCACGGGACACCAAAGGCGACAAAGTCATTGCATTGAAGTATTGCACAATCAAGCAAATTGACGAAGAGAAATTTTCAGCTCATCATCAAGACCCGAAAGTCAAAGCGTATGCAATTTTGAAGGCATAATAAACATAAATGTCAAAATCAGTAATTGTGACCAACAGATTTGATAAGAATGATAGAGAAAAATTTCAATTTGGTGTTTTAAACAAAATTTTTAAAATCATAATCGTGATATTAACATACGGCCAGCCGGACAGATATGTCTAAATCGGTTTGGCTATTTACGATGATTAAAAACATGCATATATTATGGGATTTTCTTTGCATATTTCGAGGTGTCACGAAACATTTATCACAATAAAATGCAATACTTACTTATTTAAAGGCTGCATAGAAAGTCCAGCCATTGCAGTTACAGTTTCCGACTCATCACGTTCAATTTTAATAGCTTCTAAAGCAGACATCGCTACAGTATGCGCTAAACGACGTACACAAGGCCAATGCTGAGACTAGGTAAAAAGCCAAAAGAGAAGTTACATTAATTAACATTTCCTCCGTTATAGCTTTTGAGAATTTATAAGTAAGAAAATTACGCTTATTCGGCTGTGGCGGTATCTTTTACATTTACCATCGACCGAATATACAATGTATGTGTACTTGATGTGATCTCTGATGTTTATTTCTAAGGTCTAAAAACGGATTGAGAAATCTTTCAATGAGACTTAAGAAGTAAGAAGAGATTAAACTTATATTCCCTTTCACGCGGACATTAAAAGATTTTCAGGCTAAGAATATATAGTTACTAAAGATAAATTAAATTGTTATCAGGCTTGTTAAGGGATACAAGGCTGACAGATATTTGCATCAAATTTCATATCGATAGCAGAGGCCCTAAGCTATCTTTGAAAACAAGTTACTTGAAGAATTTTAAGGCAAAAGAATCTACATCACAAATCCGTTACTAACTCGCTGTCCCAATTTTGATGTTGATGAAGCTACCAATAATTGCAGTTCGACAATAGACTGTGCAAGTCAAGCACAATTGACTGTGTATCGGTCAATTTGTGCTTGAGAGTACGTTATACAAATTAAGGCAAAGGCTTACCTGTATGGCTATGGTTTTTTGCAGCGTGTCAATGGCATTTTGACATGGTGGACGATTTAATTCATTTTCTTGCAAAGGCGAGAGACGATCTCCTAATAAGGCTCGAACGCACTCCTGTGCCGAATCACAAATAGCAGGTAAATCGTAGCCACCCTCTAAAGCTAACACTACTTTACCGTTGGCTAACTGCATAAGTTCGCAAGTCATAAAACCAAAACAGGCCGGGGATACCAAGTAACCACCCAATGGAGCGGGATGACCGGCAGCAGCATCAAAACCAGCTGATACTAAAACGATATCGGGATTAAAATAGCGAGCAATAGGCATCACAATGGTGCGGAATGCAGAAATATATTCGGCATCGCCGAGAGGTGGATTTAAAGCTCCCGACCAGGAAATGTTTACGTTGTATCCCAAACCAGCTCCGGAACCGCACTAAAAACAGAAATTATTTAGTAAATAATATAATATTAATGATTTTAAATCTTTCATTTTACCTCAGTGGGTCCACCAGTACCGGGAAAAAAGTTACCGTCATCATGACGATGTATGGAAAGATATAATACATCAGGATTATCATAGAAAGCTTGTTGAGTTCCATTACCATGATGGACGTCCTACGTAATAACATGAAAACTAATATATTTATCAAATTATTTCAACGGTTTTTAGAGGAAATCCTACCCAATCTATGATTAAAATTTTTCGTACTTCAGGTATACGTTGCCTTAACAATTTTGCTGCTATAGCTATAGAATTGAAGAAGCAGAAGCCCATTGCCAAATTTGCTTCAGCATGATGACCCGGTGGCCGCACTACAGCAAAACCATTTTTCAAATCCCCTCGAGCAGTTTTAGTGGCCAAATCTATGACGCAACCAGCTGCCATACGAGCTGCTAGCGCTGTATGATGTTCATTCCAGGTAGTATCCAAATCTACACCTACACCACCACAAGATAGGCGCACAAAACTTGCTGAGGGTGCAACACTTTCGAATTTTTGACGATTTGCTGCCAACTGACATTGATTGGAACCAAAGAGCATAGCGTGGGCTTCCGTGTGCACGGATTGTATTTCCTCTAGCGTGGCTTTAGGAGATCGCAGACGATGACATCGCTTAGCTAAATCAGTTTCGTTTAGACGCGCCCACACGCTCTGTAAGCGACCACTATGTTCAGGATGTATGGCATTGTTGCCACAAATGCAGGCATGTTTGAGCATGAGATTATCGTAAGCTAGACCGGTAGTTATTTTATGCCCGGCTAATGTACCCAGTGCATCGCCGGTTGAACGTTGTGTGCCATGAGCCGCCATTGAGAGATCGATCAATTGTCGACCGTGTGGTAATGTTAGGTTTACGGGTGGTATATGATCAGCCGAAGATGATGTTACAATCGGTCCCGCATGAGGAACATGTGTTGCTTGACCAGTGTCAGGTATTTGACTTAAGCCATGCGGTCCTAAATGTACTAAAGGTGAGGAGAGAGTACGCGATAAAGGTCTTATTAGACCTCTAGCTACTGCATCATCCATTTGCAAGGATTGCATATACAACAATTCCCGTTGCTGTTGCAAATACTCTTTATCACGCATCAACTTGTTGGGTCCCTTTGGGATGCAAGCTGGCGGGGGCACGGGATATGTGGGCGCTGTTGCGTTAGGTAAATTTTGTGAAGTGCTGGTAGGTATCGTGCTAGTTAGCACCGTCTTTGGTGGTTTCTTTTTATCGGTGAGATCCATAACTTCAGCAGCGTCCTCTTCTTTCAGTTGAGTATCTCGGACTGCTGTACCCCCGCTGCGGGTTAATACAGTTTGTCGGATTTTTTGTGTGAGTAGCAAATGTTGTTCGTAAGCTTGACGCTCAGCCTGAAGAAAATTTAATATGCATATCAACAAGTGTGAAGATAGCTAATCTATTCAAATAAAATTATTTCGCTTACATCACTATTTTCATAATGCGTTTGCGCGATATTAATCTGTCCACTTCCGGTTAACATTGGATGTCCCAATGGCAATGGGGCTGATTGTGTGCGACCCAAGGGACGATGTCCTTGTTTATTGAGATGTGCTTGGGCTACCTGAGCATCCGTAATAGGCTGACCGTATATAGCTGTAGGAGATTGTGATGAATGGCTAACAGCCGAAGCAACAGTATGTATACCCCCCGTGGAAGCGACATGCATAAGAGCTGTTGCTCCGGCAGAAGCTGCATGTGCCTGTGGCGGGGCCACATCACCCACCAGAGAAGCCTGCGATGATGATGTCGAGGTGGCCGAAGCGGAACGTACTACCGGTGATTGTGGCGGAGCAACAGCGCTCCCAGATGGAGGTATCATAACACCAGGTGGTGGCACTGGTTGCCGTCCAAATGGTACTGCTAAAGGATTGTAATAAGTTGGAGGACCCGTATTGGCCACTGTTGGCGGAATAGAGTTAACATGTTGACGCAAAGCCGCCAGCATCGCATAATTGGCAGCCGTATTATTATGAGCATTTGGCAAATGAGGACGGCCCAGGGATATGTTCGGCATGGAAGGTGAACTAAACAATGACAAATCATTAATGCTGCTGCGCTGACCAGGCTGATATTGACTGCCGTCTTCATTCTCTTCTTGTATAGGAGCACTGGTAGGCGAACCACGATTTGCGCCCACAACGTTGGCAGCTGAAAGACTAGATGCAGGCGGTGAATTGGGTCCAGAATCGGAGGTACTATTACAATCTAATCGAAAAAAAAACGAAAAAATATTATTTAAAAACAAAAAACATAAAACAAAAAAAAAAAAAAAAAACAAATACAAGTAAACAATACAATAATTGTAAAAACTGTTGTACAAGACAATTGTCATTCAGTCAAGCTTTCGATTATAGTTAGTAGCGAGTTAATACGAAAATTAAAGAACAACAAAAAAGTTTTGAACAACAACGAACGAAACAATTAAAGAATAAAAATATCGTACGAAAAAAATTTATTCAAAAAATAAAAGTATTAACTCTCTACTCAACCGCTGTGCGTATATGGTTGATGGTTGATTTTTTTTTTTTTTTTTTTTGAAATACTTATATACACATACATACTTGTTAAGGCGGAATTCTGTTTCTGTTGACGTCGTTGGGCCGCATGTAATAAACGTTCATGCCTTCGAAAACCGGCTGGTCCGCATATTCGGGCTTTACGTTCTATAACACTTTGTTTTAAACGCATCTTCAATAAGTTTGGTTCGGATGCTGTGTGTACAGAGTAACATAAGATTTGATTTTTAAAATATACACAAATACCTAAAACTTTCTTTCATTGAAAAAAAAAAAAAAAAAAACACAAAAAAATAATAATAACAACAAAATTTAAACTAACCGTGACAGGTAAAGTGAATAAACGACAGAGTTTCTTTTCTATTCAATTTCATTTAATTGATTGTTATTATAAATTTTTAGCTTTTATGTTAATTAAGGGCTTGAATATACATATACATATGTATATATATGCAAAAGAATCTTTTTTTTTTTTTTAAAGAATTACATGCAAAAACATCAATAGATCTTCGAGAGACGGAGAGTCTTTTCCATCTCCCTCTTAACTACTTACCAGTTTTTCGTAAAGGGAAATCCGATTCATATTTAAGCAATGTCGAGGGCGGTGGCTGAGGTATCTTATATGGATGAGAACTTGCAACAGCGCCGGACGGGATCGATTCGCCCGAAGAACTCTTTACCACACTTCTATACGCGCGCAATAAAAAGAAAAACGAGAAAACAATTTTAAATTATATAATAATTTAAAATTTCTTCGCCTACCTGGGATGATTTATCCGATACGGTGAAGTATTTGACATGCCATTTGAATTGTTGGCGGCTTGTTTGCGACTTAATATGAAACACTTGACGCAAGAAAAAGATACGAACAAAAGTTGATTATAGTACGAATAATAAAATAACAATAAAAATAATAATAATAATAGACTTTAGCTATCGGTAAATAAAGTACTTACATTTAAGATTTGTTTAACTTCGGGGCTGGCATTTGCACTGTTCTCTTTCCGTTTAACCACTTCTCGTTCCCGTCTCTCGCGTTGCTGCTGTTCTTCAGCAGCAGCAGCAGCGACAGCAGCGGCTGCTGCAATTCTTTGTTCTTGCAATTCCTGGAAAGCGCCATGTGAATGCACCGCATACTAAATTACATTAAGTTCAAAATGTTTTTGCCATTTTCTTAGATATTTTATTACAAAATTTATACATTTCTCTTAAACATAATCAAATTTTACGAATCGGAAATATGTCGTGAAATAATATGCAATGAAATTTTTTTAAATAAAAAAACAAGTAAGAACGTTACAGTCGGTCAAGGCTGGCCGTTAAATAACCCAGATCACATTGTCTAACACAACACCACGTTTTTGTATGAAATTACTATTATTGCTGCTCTACAAAGGATCAATTTTCATGAAAATCCTTATTAAATTAGGTTTCCAAAAATAGGTCGAGATGATCCAAATTTGATACAGAAAAGCTCTCTTCACTTAAATTACTTTTACAATATTATTTTCGTGACGACGCATTGAAATTTATATCGTTTTGTCGCATGAGAGAGGGTTCAAAAATCGCCACAGCCGGTCCAAAGTTTTCATATCGATATAAAATTTCGAAATATTATTATTTAGTCACTTTTGCAAATTCTTTTTCCATATAATGACTTTTCAGAATAGTGCGTTAAATGGGGAGTGCTCGCAAAAATTGACGGAATCGAACCATTTTCAGTAGCATTCGTCCTTGTATCAAAACACGTGACTGCAGCATATTCCATCGCAATATTTCAAAAATTGCATCTTGTAGATTGAACACAAATATACATGGACAGACAGGCTTAGATCAAATCGCATTTTGATTCTGAATCGATCTGTATAGGCGAAAAAGGTGGATGCTATTTTAAGCCCTTCTGGGTGTTACGTTAACATGGGTGTTCGCATTAATTTAATATATCCTATGCCACAAGCAGTGTAGGATACAATAATTCTAACGGAAGTCGAGTCTTCACTTGCCGAAATAAAGAGCTTTTATCTATTTACTACGAGTAAGACTAAGGGAAACTACTGTTAATTGTTGCTTTAAATGCAAATATTTGGTTCTATAGAAATTTTTTTACTAATCGATAATCCTTTGATCTTTAATCTAACCTTCTTCTATTCCTGGAAACATAAATCGGGCGTATCAACTTCAATTTGTGTCAGAGAGACGGTACACAGATCATTATCAACATTATTAGCAATCTATGGGTCGATCGATCTGATTTTTTTTTCTTTTTCTTTTCGAAAAAACATCTAATTTCCCGAATTGCAATGATTGTTTTATGCATCACGGAAGGATAGTATGCATATTCATTTTGTTAAAACATTTGCAACAACCAGAAGGAAGCATCAGAGGGGTCATAAAAAGCGTATATATTCTTGATCAGCATTAAATTTTAAAGCGATTTAAGCAAGCCCGTCTGTCCGTTTGTGTAACGTCTGTCGTAAACATTTTACTGGCCGCAAAAACGAACCTATCGACTCTTGCACGCAGGTTAATATTGAAAATGGGCCAAATCGGCTGACGGATACGCCCACAGCACCAAGTAAACTAAGAATATAATTTAATGTTTTTTTTATTTATTCCGACGCAGAAACAAACTTTAAAAAATACATAAATTCTTGATCAGTTTCAAATTTGGAATGCAAATAAATATGTCCGTCTGCCCCATTGTGTGTTTCCGTCACTGCAAAATATTTGTAGTAAACATTTTCCCGTTAGCGAAAATTAAGATATCGCCTACAAATTAGGAACTGACTTTAACTTTTCCAAGGAAGGACGTCTACAACGTCCACATGCCACATCCGACAGAAATTTTTATTTTGAAAATAGAAACAATCAGCCACGCCCACTCCATGTTATAGAGCATGAAAATATAATTCTTTTGCCTTTTTTTAGGAGAACAATGGTGGGTGAGTATGCAAGATTCGGTCACGATAGAATATAATGTACTTACTTGTTTAAGCATGTACTTACTGTCTTATGCTTGAAAAAACAAGAAAAAACATTATAAGGGGCCAACAACTAACTAGGCCAATATAATGAATGGTTTTCCAAGACAATGCGTTATAAGGGTAACGGCCAAAAATACGCTCGTATTATTGGGCTTAGTGAAATTTAACAAAACGCGCAATTAACTTTACATCCTTTACTTTATATCCTTTCAAGTGTCATAAGTCGTATTCTCTGTGACACACACACAAACAAGCTTTTTAGCATTAGCAACATAAATAAAGTCATTAAAAAAACACTTTTACTATGTCTACTTCAATTTAGTTCGCTTCTATTATATCGACGCAAATATGACTCTGTCTGCCTGTTATAAAATTGAAAAAAAAAAAAAAAAAAAAATCGATTTTTTTTATTTAAAGAACGCGGGGCCATTGAATAATTTTCGTATAAAAGTTTTTTCTTAGCTGCGGCACGAAAAAAAAAAAAAAAAAAACAAATGAAAAATTTTCTGTTTAAGGAAACTGAATCTATTTTAAAAACCTTCTCCACAGATGACCTCGATATTAATTAACGGCCACCAGTAGTAATAACAATAATAAATGTGAACAATGAAAATGAATACTACGCATAAAACGGATGTTATGCTTTAAATATGAATTTCTTTCGTTTTCGTTTCTATTTATATTATTATTATTATTATTATTATTATTATTATTATTATTTTTTTTTTTTTTTTTTTTTTTTTTTTTTTTTTTTTTTTTTTTTTAATAAAAACTTACATGAAATTTATTTTCCAATTGTAATTTGTGTTGCAGTTCCATTTGTTTGCTTTTCTCCTGAAATGTGTGCAATAGCATTTGTTTTTGTAATTCTTGTTTCTTTTTCAACTGTAACGAAATGAAAATTATAAAAATGAATTATATGCATATGGTTACATGTAATAAATCTTAATTAAAAAAAGAAATCTAAAAAGCAAAAACTAATAAAAATATTGTGTACACCATCAAATACCATACACAATTTCGCTTAATACAGTTATTCATATAACAATCTTTTAAAATTAGATTTTATTTTGGTCCAACCCGAAACATTATCATTATCAATAGCGTGCGCCGTTGGAGTAAATTGAAAGGCGATGAAAATGTCTGAAAAATTCTATATCTGTAGATTGAATACAAGAAAACAAGACGGACGGAGATAGACGGATAGACAAGCTTCTAATGAATTGCGAAAGTGATTCTAAATCGATCGGTATAATAAAAAGGTGGCTCTATCTCAACTCCTTCTTATTGTTGCATACATCCGCTCAATATATAAAATCGCCCATATACTACAAGTGTCGGTGTAAGGTATAACGCGACTTGGATGCCCATATGGTCATATTTACCGCATAAATTTTCACATCAAAATAATGATTATAGCTATGAAAATGTGAAAGAAAGTATGAAAAAATAAAATTAATTCAGAGTTTCACGCTACGGGTCCTAATACAAGTAATTTCTTGATGCTGCATAGCTACGTGAAACGAATGTGTGACGGCTAGTTCCTCTCACTAATCTAGAGAGTAAATTAAAATATTTTCAAACTTTTAACATTAAATTATTATTTGTCCACACTAAACGCAGCACACACACACACACACACACACACACACACAAACACATACACCCTTCCCCTCTTTCATTATTTTGTCATTCTTTGTGTAACCCAGAAAGTGTAAACTTAAGCTTTGTCAATTTTATTTCGATTTCTCAAAGTAGTGAGAATATATAGAATTATTATACTCTACACCACATCTGGTACAGGGTATATTAACTTGGTGCGCTCCTATGTAACACCCACTAACGACTTAAGGTAGCATCCGCCTTTTTCGCCTACACCGATCGATTCGAGAATTATAATCCGAATTAATTTAAGCCGGTCTGTCCGTCTGATATCCGCCCCCATGTAAATTTATGTTCAATCTGCAGTTTGCAATTTTTGAGATATTGTGAGGAAATTTGCTACAGTCACGTTGACCCAAGGACAAACGCTATTGAAAATGCGCCAGTTCTTCTGCCGGCCTGTGTAAAGTCTGTTGTAAGCATTCTTCTGCCCGCAACAATTAACCTATCAACTTCAAATATGGCAGAAACATTGGAAGGTCTTCCATGTAGGTTCGTTTCGAAAATGGGCCAAATCGATTGAAGCACCTGCCTACAGTGCTCTATCGCCTTTGAAGCCACAAAACAGGTAAGTTCCTTTTGTATTATGGCTGGCGATGAAAATGAGGTCTACTACGATAATTTTAAGCATGAAAAATCATGGTTTAGATCAGGGCAGTCATCCACATCGACACCGCAATGGAATATTCAACGCCATAAAATTTTGCGGTGCATATGTTGGGATCAGTACGGTGTAGTGTATTAAGAGTCGCTAAAACCGAATCATACTTTTACTGCAGATGTCTACCGACGTATATTGAATCAAAAAGACTAGCATTAACGGTTAAAAGACGGAAAATCATCCTCTTGCATGATAACGCTCGGCCGTTAAATGTTGGAAAAATTATCAAGGATAAACCACAGGGGGGGTCGAATGAGAAGTTCTGCCGCACCCTGCGTACTCGCCAGGTATAGCGCCTTCTGATTACCACTTGTTCGATCGATCGATGCAGCACGACTTGACTGGCACACAGTCGCGAAATGTTGAAGAAATGCGAAAGAACTGGGTCGATAATTGGATGGCTATCAAATCAAGATCATTCTTTCGACGGGATATGGCCAGTATATGCCAGATAGGTGGGAACATTATACAATGTGATTGAAAATATTTTCCAAGTGAAAAAAATGGTCAAAAATATTCGCTGGTCATAACCGAAAATAATGGGTTTTTTTATCGATCGAAATTAACGAATCCAATGTCAACTTTTTTATAATAGCTGTACACATAAAACATGCTGAATGATAGCAAATTGAATGCGTCATATACGTTTTATGAAGCAACCAATTTGAGCGGGATGAACTTGTTTGTACACTTAAAAAAAAAAAAACTTTTTAACTCATGGAAGACCTAAAGCATTCCTTGTAACTTGTGATATCTCTGTGATATGGTTCAGAGTGCGACTTCACACAAACGATTCCAAAAAATTGTTGTCTAATGCTTCACAAACACTATCGAAGGCGTTAGGCGAAGTGCGCGTCGCGATTTTCCTAACAACCCAATTACTATCTTTATAAAGGTAGTTAACGTTAAAAAAAAGAAGAAGAAGAAGAGTATGGAACATAAGAAATGCGTCCGACAATTCAAATTCACATTATCAGTTTATACAAGGTGGCGTCATTTTACAGAAATCATACACATACACATATACACACACATACGCACACACACGCACACGCACACAATTATACGTACGCATGTATATAATGGATATACAAATATACAATTTTTAAAGTAAAAAACCTTGTTGGCAACATCTTTTTTCTTGTTTTTTTTTTTTTTAATTTTTTTTTTATAATACACAATAAAAATAGCAAATTTATTGAACTGTATAGAAATAAAACAATAACAATAATAATACCACTAAGAAAAAGTTCCTATTTATAAATATAACAAAAGAAGAGGAGGAAGAACAAAAAGTATTTCTCTAATAAACTGCGTACGCGAGGTTCACTGTAGTTATAAATAGCAACAATACACACAACGCTAAGTATATAAATACATACGCATATAATATTATTATAAAAAAGAAATGAAGGAACGAAATGCAAAAAAAAAAAAAAAAAAAAAAAATTGAAATGAAAATAAAAATAAAAAAGAAAAGAAAGTCGTAAAAAAAAAAGAAGAAAACAACAACACACACAGAAAAATAAATAAACTTTAGCAAAACGCAAATAACATATGTTTAAAAATAGCTCAATGCATACATATTCTATTTTATTCTAATGTATGTGTGCGCGTGTGCGTGTGTGTAAAAAAAAAAAACGTGCACGAATAACATACATATCGGTGTATTCGGCTTAGATTGCTGCGAGCTTCAAAGCCAAGAGTTGAAATTAATTTACATAATATGTGTGAGAAACGGTGTGAATGAATTTTGATTTGCGACAAAAAACCGTCCGGAGATGATAAATCGATGTATGTGTATGTCAAAGAGCACATTACGTATTTCTTTACATTTACTCCATCCAGCCTACAATGGCAGATCTGGCTTCTATCTAATTGCGAATAATAGTGAAGATGTCTATCTATCTAATTATAATTATTGTTATATTGATGAACTCGTTGAATCTATATTACAACTATTAAGATCAATAATAAAAAATAATAATGAAAATATAATATATATTTCACAAGTATCTTAAAAAACTTAATACTGATAATTCATGATACGCCATACGTAGTAGTTATGTAAGGCATTCCGTTGACATTTCAAATGAATCTATTCCTCCAAGCACTTCTGATATGCACTTTTTGGTATCGTGGTCTTTGAGCACTTTCAGCGATACGGTCTTCATCTACCTTGATGGGTCTTTTCAGTTTGGTCAAAAGAAAAAGATCGCAGGAAGGCCAAGGGCGGCTAAGGCACGATTACGTGCGCAATATTTCTGACCTTTCACGGCTGAAAAATCCGAAAAAATGGCATAGCATGAGCCAGCCGACGTATCGACATCCCCTGCATCTTCCCTAACACCGATGCAATGATTCTCTATAACAATGTTCTTCACTCGTTTAACGTTGCCATCTGTTGTTGATGTGCTGGGGCCACACTCAACATTTTAAGCAAACTAGAGAACTTAATTTTATTTTTTATACTTTGATCCATTTTTTAATAACCAAAAATCTCAAAAAACATTAAAACACATCTAACCCTTATATCTGCCGGAAATGAAAAATGGGTAACAAGGTCAACGTACGTTGTGGACATGTGTACCAACAAAAAAAAAAAGAAAAAAAAAAAACGAAAATCGAATAGAAAATCTGCCGACTGCATATAGCCCACGATATTTGAAAAGTCAACTTTCTTTGTTTTCTTAATTGCTGATCGCAGCAAATCAAATCCACATATAGCTGCCATCTTCCCTTTTGACTGCTATGTATGTACAAGATTTTTGAACGGCTTTTAAAACTTGAATGTTGAAATCATCGACTGGAAACATTTCCTTCACCAGAAGACACGCACCAATAGACTGACAGACAGATTGAAAAAATAGGCGTAATTAGATAGGCTTTATAAATGCATTTTTTGGAATCTTTGAGGTGAGCATAAAGGCTAATGAAAATGAAAATGCGTTCTTCAAAGAGAGCAGAAAAGTACAAATAATAAAAAAAAAATCTCATCTCCTCTTTATCTCTCCTGCTATAAAGATAAAACTGTTTATATCGATTCGGACAACGATTTTGAACAGACCTCGTTACGTACATTCGTAAGATCGTAATGCTATTCTGAACCATATTTGACGAAATCAATATAGCCCTCATCCAAATTATCAATTTATATGCCATTTAGAATCGATTAAGCTCACTTTGTCTGTCCGCCTATCATTTAATGTCGACTTTCTCGTAATAGGAAAAATTTAGATAGAAAGTTAGTGAAAGTGATTTTAGAAGTGCTCCTTTCCCACCCATAATCCGTATACGAACATGCCTAACAATATAATAATGGAAAAAAAATGGTGTACCGTCTCCTCATTGCTAGTACGTTGGCAGTTAACGGAGACGTGCTGCTGTTAGTTATCCAGAAAATCATTTGCCCTCGCATGCTTTAGTCCAATATCTCGTACGGTCGATGATAGTGAAAGTGTTTTGTAGTTATTTTGGACGAACTTGTGAACGGATTACGCTCATCACAATATTAATATTCGAAATTTTTTGATTCACTGTAACTGTTCACTTATTATGGCAT